ATTTCAAGGAAACCCACATTTTACTCTTTAATTTGTCCATTCCATGAACCTGAAAAACGACATCAATTTCTCATTCACTCATAAATGGTTTTGATCAACTGTCTTTACCGTGTGACTTGCCATGCGGCAAGAAACACATCACTTTTTTGGACCCACCTCAAAAGACGTGTGGATCCCACTCAAATGTAGGCTTAAAGATGGCCCAAAATAAACCTATAAAAACCATTATTTCCAACAATTTGACAACCTTGGAGTTCATTTTAATTCAAATCATGGACAACATTCATATTTTTGGCTATGTATGTTTGGTATATATTTTATGAATCGAGACTTAATTTCTTATTATTTAAGATTTTTCATCTCGGCAATGAATGCCCGAGGTGAAGATGGGTTGAACAAGATCTCAAAATAGTTCTAAGTACAAGGTTCAAAGGCGGACTAAGCTCAAGATGACCTCGGCTACGCACACACATACACTAAGCAAAGAACAAAATCATGCAAGCAACTTTAAGCAAATCAAGGCAAGACAAAACCTTCAAATTAACAAAACAAGCAAGACCATGCAAGAATGTATGCAAGTATGGCAAGAGTAAGGCGAGGGTTGTTACAGTGAAGATGAGCGCGGTGCTTTTAATCCTTAATATTACTAATTTTCAATAAATTATGCATCCTTAAAAAACAATAAACTTGAAAACTTTATAAAGGATCATTTACAAAGATATAAAATTTTCCACATAGAAGAGGGAAGTAACTAAAATTTAAAAAAGAACACAATTGATGAATGAAGGAAATAAATTGAAAGTGTATTGGAATTAAAATTGTGTTTTAATTATGATCAAATCGAACTATTGTAGGATTGGGTTGAAAAAGCTATGGAGTTCAAGAGGATAAATAAGACTACATTCTGATGGAATTGTAATAAGGTATCCTTAATCCATATTGTTTCAACATCTATTTTTCGTATTGTTTCAATATGCTAATGTTATTGTTTTTTAAATATTAGATTGTTGTACATGCTGCTCACTGGAAAAAGTACACAAAAGTTGATACATAGACATTTTAGAATGTGATGGAGAGCAAGTTTAAAGGCGTCCAATCACTTTAGAAGCGTCCAAGTACTTTTTGTAAAACAAGAAGTTTGAAGACATTATATGGCAAATATTTTGTAAAGTATATCCTTGATGTTAATCACTTTTGTAAAGCCTCCTATTGATATGCAGTTCAGTGGATTCTAATATTTTTCTAAAAGTCTCTATCAATGTAAAAGATTGGACCTTATGGGTGGTTATTCAATGTGGATCGTAGAGTGCCTTTGAAAATTCACTAAATTTAAGTGCAACGATTTAATTTAGTATTTTTGCACATTTTGGGGGAAGTCACATATGCTTGACAAGGAATAATGTGTAAATTTAGTGTCTATTGTATATTTAAATAATTGTTCATTAACACAATTTTTGTAATTTTTTTGTATTGCAAAGCACAACTGGTGTGCTTTATTTATTTGTCATTTTTTTTTCTATTGTGGAACACTGATTGATGTGCTTAATTTGTTATTTCTTATTTTTTGATTGTACAATATTGGTTGATGTGCTTTATTTATTTATCATTTTCTTTGTATTGCAGAGCCTTGGCTGGTGTGCTTAATTTATTATTTGGTATTTTCTTTGTACTAGCTGCTGTTGTTTTTTTTTTTTTTATTGTGCAAAAAACTGGTTTGTGTTTTTTTGTTTGATTTTTTTTTTTTTTTTTATGTGTTGTGAGACTTACACTTCGGTGTTTGTTTAAAATCTTATACTTTTGTTGTGATTGAATTTTTCTTAGCATTTATGTGTTTACTTTTCACTATTTCGTTTACCTATAAATTTTAAAAATCTATGTTCAATTTATTTATTCACTGATAGCATACAATTTATTTATTTTTAATTTATTTAATTTTCTACACAGTAAACTGACCACCAAACCATAGAAATTGGTAGATTTCATCCATTAGATTAAAATTAGTGCAAAACTATAGCCATGATATCTCTCTTCTTTATTTCAACCAAAACTCACACTCTAAAAAGAAATATGTATGTTTGAGAAATGGGGAAAACACCAAGTTTACACACAACTAGAGAACTATATGCAACTATTTCGTTCACTTCGATGAATACATATTGCAAAAGTGACAAGTTTTTTGATCCAAGTTGAAAGTGTGTCAGGCAAAAGGGGAAAACCAAAATGAAGAGGTAGGAAAGTACAAAGTCTTATATGACATTTAGCCAAAATATCACTCCCCACCCCACTGGCTCTGATCTGAAGCCACCTCCCTCAAACACCGAAGTAAATATAGAAATTTTATTGGATACTGTTGTTGGTCAGGGTAATAAAGTGCTTATTTTATGTCGCAAATTGCAGGTGGGTTAAAAAAAATACTACAGTAGTAAATATTTGATGATATGGTCTTTGTTTGCATTTGTACGAGTATCAGAAATTAATTGTATCATCACTATTTTCATGCTTTCTTGATAAATTTAAGCAATTTTCATCACATTACCTCTGCCATTACTAATCGTGGACACCACCATTTTTTGCCACTTAAATTTTTGTTTGACAAACAAAAATGTAATCACAATGATATTATTGAAACTTGCTTATTGTTAAAAATAAATTTTCTTTTAGCAAAATTTATTGTTAAATTCAATTGGACAATTTTTTTTGATTAAACAACATCTCTCTAAATTTTATAATTTTGCAAAATGTTGATTAAAATATTTAAAAAGTTAACTAAAAATAATAAAATACAATCTGAAAATTTAAAATCTGTTTTTGAAAACTCCAAAACCAAATAAATTTTGAATTATAAATTTGTAAAAATTATTTTTAAAATATACAGCAAAACAAAAATTCAAGTTTGACAAACTCTTTTCAAAATATGATTATAAAATTCATTTGTGTTAGGTTTTTATTCTTAGCAATCCCGTTTGACAAAACTCCTTTCAGTTGTATTTGTTTTTGCTTTTTTATTTCAGTGAGGCTATGAGTGTTTAGATGCGAATCCAACTCGAATTGTGCCTTGTAGAGAAGTTTGTGATGTTAATGCTTTCAAGATTGCCACTTCGCTGATTATGACGGGGGTCGAGCTGCCCAGTCAGCTCGCAGGGTCGAGGGGCAGCGCCCCCGAAGCAAAATGCAAAAATGCATTCAAAGTTGCCTGTCCGCTCGAGCGGAGAATTCTGAGTTTCAAAAGTTTGGTGAGTCTGCAAATATATTGTGATCCGTCACTACAACAAATTTGGGATTTAAAGACGAAACAAATTTGTCCCAAAATGTATATATTTCGTCACCCAAACTAATTACGACGAAAAATTTTCGTCGCTAAAGGGTCTTAGAGACGAAAAAACAATTTCGTCATTGAAAATGATAAATTTGTGACGAATTTTTTTGTCTCCAATACGCTTTGTTGGGAACATACTTGTAAGTAATTAGCAACAAAATATTTTGTCATTAAAGGAAGAAATTAGAAACAAAAGTATTTTGTCATAAATATAAGAAATAGAGACAAAATAGAAGACAAATTTTTTTTATCAAAGAAGCTACCAATAGAGACAAAAACAAATTCATTATTAAAAATGATAAATTTGTAACGAATTTTTTTGTCTCCAATACACTCTGTTGGGAACATACTTGTAAGTAATTAGTGACAAAATATTTTTTCATTAAAGGAAGAAATTAGGGACAAAAGAATTTTGTCATAAATATAAGAAATAGAGACGAAATAATTTTGTCACGTTCAATATAAACGAAGACGAAAATTTTTTGTCAAAGAAGCTACCAATAGAGACAAACAAATTCATCATTAAAAATGATAAAATAATGTCAAAAAAAATTCGTCACACATTGAGGGTAATAGTGACAAAATGTGACAATATTTTTTGTCATGACCAATTCATTTAGCGACGAAATAAAGAATTCATGACAAAATTAATCATCCACCTAAGCCAAATAAGAGACAAAAAAACCTTCTTTACGGATGGAAAATTTTGTCAATAATTCCATAATATTTTTTTCCACATTATATACCTATTTTATCAAAATCTAAATTCTAGTTCAACAAATATAACCATTTTCATGTTGAAACCTATTGAATATAACAATTCCATCACAACTTAACCTAACCTGTTATCAACACATTTACGAATTAACAAAATGAAAATATCCATTCATCATTACAAATAATTTCATCCTAATACAATAAAATAGTGAAATATCCACAAAAAAAATAAAAGTTATAACTTGTTCAATTTCACCAAACATCCAACAATAACTAGTGCAACTCCACAAAGTATGTGTATCCTTATCAAACAAAAATGAACATTCAAGCAAATTATATTATTGTTGCACGTCAAAAATGCCACCCCAATCCAATCTGCGAAAAAATAAAATAAAAGCTTTAGTAATTAATCAATTATACAAAAGATTAAAAATATTAGTAACTCATCAATTTACAATTAGATCAATTATACAATTTATCCCTCTAACAGACTTTTTTCGAGATTATGAGAACAAAAAATTAATTTTAAGGCTAATTCACAAATGATGCATCCCATTAATGTGCCGTAAGTTCATACAACTTATATTGATCCCTCCTAAGGTGTTTCTATTGGCTCCTGTACAAATCTGTAGTTGTGTGATAATTTAGCATTTCGACGGCCTTTTTTTGAAACTTTAAGTATAGAGAAAAAAATATTTTTTAGACTAATTCATAATTTATACATCCCGTGCACCTGTATAAATTGGATGTCATATGCATGTTTCCATTACTTCTTAATTCTTCAAACATATATTCTTTTATAAAATTTGTTATATTAAAGTTAATATACTTTACCAAGACTTGTGGATGAGTCCCCTCTACTTCCAAAGTGTACAGTGAATCCTTTGGTCCTCAAAAAGTTGACAACATCAGCCATTATCTCCCCTTGCTTCTTCTTACCCTCTTCAAGATCTTCTATTTTATTGTTCTACATTTGTATTTGTTCCTTCTGTGTCTCTATTTGCATCTCAAGGCGCTTCACATAATCATTTGTTTCAGCATATATGGTAGTGGTCCTCCTAATAGAGGATGAAGGTCTCATGCCAAGTCCCTTCACATAGCCAAACCTTGGCTTTAGCACTTTGATTGACAGCTCTTCTGCAGTCAAAGGGATTGATCCCGGTTGTGAGAGGTGATCAGCCTGTGTCCGTATCATTGACAGCTCTTCTGCAGTCAAAGGGATTGATCCCGGTTGTGAGAGGTGATCAGCCTGTGTCCGTATCATATTTTCCTATCAAATATAAAAAAATTAAATAATTTTTAGAAAATTAAATAAGATCATAACAAATAGTATTTTAAAATTTTGTTAATAAAAATTGCAATATATACTCACATAATTACACTGAGCTTGAGATGAGATCCACTCATGTGTTTTCTCATTATAGTGAGTTTCCTTGTACAACTCTGCTAGATCAGGTAGCATCTTCTTTTCTCGTGCCTAATTCGATAGGCCAAATATTCAATAAATAAAGCTAAGAATCTAATATAAATCTGAAAGTGCAAGGATACGTACCAGTTTTTCTACTCTAACAGGGATTGACCTAGAACCACATCTATGTTTTGTATACATCCTTTTTCTGTTTGTGATGTTGGCCTTTGATTGTTCCTATAAGGAAGAATGACCAATATAACAATGAAATGTATCATTAGTAAGACAAATATGTTGGCTTTTGATTGTTTTTATAAGGAATAATGAACCAATATAACAATGAAATGTATCACTAGAAAAACAAATTTAATGCTTGATAATAAAGAAATTGCATTGTTCCTCTCTATCATTTTCCTATATATCATTTCAACTTAAAAGATATTTCAATTCACAGCAAATTGATTGTGTTCTTTCTAGTTGTTTTAGAATCTCTCCCTATTCTAATCAAATTCTTTCTTCGCTAATATAATAAAAAAGATGAAAATGTTACCAGAAATTCTTTAGTGTTCCACTTTTTATCAATAAGATCTATCCACTTGGTAGGATCGACATTCTTTGGTGGGTGGTTTCTTGCATACTCCTCCCCTTTAGCCTCCTTCAGCTCCATGAATTGTTTGTGCAGCCTATAGGTATGGTTACTCAATCTCTGACCAAATTTTATATTCATTGCCTTCTCTATATCAATAGGGTCTCCTTGTAAATCAAATTGATCTTGCAAAAATAGGATCGACATTCTTTGGTGGGTGGTTTCTTGCATACTCCTCCCCTTTAGCCTCCTTCAGCTCCATGAATTGTTTGTGCAGCCTATAGGTATGGTTACTCAATCTCTGACCAAATTTTATATTCATTGCCTTCTCTATATCAATAGGGTCTCTTTGTAAATCAAATTGATCTTGAAAAAAATAGATAAGTCATAGATAATTCTTATAAAAAATAAAATAATTACAATAAATAATTAAGATTTCTAACCTATTATAAAAATGAGTAAAATGTCCTATAATAGAGTAAACAACGAACTTACATTCAAGCGTTGAAACATCGCCTCCTTAACGGAGGCATGAACATACTTCCATCTACGAACACTTGGATCTGGTAAACGAGTTCACACTTCTACACCAATCTTTGAGGCATAGTCCCCTACCGGTGCACAAAATTCTGGAGGGATAGGCACGCTAAGCTTTCCATCTCTATCAACAAGGCCTTGAACCTCTTTGCCTCGAGTCAGGCTACGAACACACTTAGCAACTGATATTCTGAAGCCATAATATTGAAATAGTATGTGAACAAATTTAATTAAGATCTCAAATCAATGTAAATAAAGAGTGTGTCTTACCAATAGTATTACCAGCAATCACCTCAAGTCGAGGCTCCACATTGAGAGGTGGTGGCGGATGGCTAGCCACCTTAGGACGTGAAGAGGTATCCCCCTCTTCTGATGCATAGGTCAATGCCTCATGATGAGATTGTGAACGGGCTCTCGATGGTATCTCTAATAGCTGAATAACATAATAAAATATGAATATATGTAGAAAGATATACATGTCTATATGTGTATGAATTGAAAGTAACAAGAAAGAATATATTTCACAATGCATAAATGTATTGTACCTCATGCTCAAACGAATCATAGGATTTAGTGTCATTGCCATCTTCAGCCTTTGACGGTCGATAATCATCATCATTTTCCTCAATTGGTATTTGTTTTTCCTTCCTCAATATCTTATGTTGAACCGTAGCCTTCAAACAAGTTGTTATATTCTTCACTCCTAGAGCATTCATTCTCTCATGATTTTTATTAATATTCTTCATTCTTTGTTTCTCATAGTTCGTTACCTTCTTAGTTGTGGTACTTGGTTTGGTCAACTCTTTTTTTGTAGCGTCCATTTTGCCCAACTATAAAGCATAATTGAACATTTTTTTGGTGGATACGCATAATTGAACATTAGATGTAAAGAAAAGATAATTATATATTTCTATACATAAAGCAAAAAGCAACAACAATCTCGACAAGTGGATATGTCATATAGGCTCTAAATCATTGAAATATGGCTAGAGTGAGATGGATGATTTTTGTTTTTACCATTTACTTATCATAAAAAAAATTAATTATAAAGCCACTAGACACATAACATGACCAATCAACGATAAACCTACATAACAGTGGATGAACCCCACAATTGAAATTCAACTACATGAATTAAGAACAATGTTCACATAGAAAATGCAAAATAACTACAAATCCTAGTCTACATCAAGATCCATATCGTAATCCACATCAGGTTCGTCACACTCTTCATTTTGTTTGTCAGCTCTATTCTCCATCATTGTTTCATCAGATGACCTAACCCTTGTAACAACTTCTGCCTCAACACCATCTCTATAACATTGAACATTAGGGCCGATGTCAATTGGAACAATATCGGTAATATTTTCTTGTTGGAACACATTGTTTTCTTCTGGTTCATCTAATGATTCTCTATCACCTACCTCTAGTACATCAAAGACACCCCTATGTTGCACTCGTTGAACAACTTGCCAAGGTTGTCCCCATTTGGTATCATTTAGGTAAAAGACTTGCTTAGCCTAGCTAGGCAAGATGAAAGGATCGTGTTGATACCACCGACTTGTAACATCAATACTTGTGCAATAATCATCGGTTCGCAATGTTCTACTTCGACCTGTATTTCCTGTGTTGTACCATTCACACTGGAACAATACAACTTTGTTATGACACATGTACTCCAATTCCCAAACATTGCACAAGTGACCATAAAATTCATGCATCACTCCCTCATGATCCCCTTCCATAAGCACACCACTATTCTGACTCTTACGGCGATTGTCTACTTCTCTTGTACGAAACCGTACGCCATTGATTATGCAACCTGAGTACTCTTTTACTAGTAAATTTGGGCCATTTGCTAACGACCATAAATCATTGGTTGCTTCTGGTGACTTTTCTTCTCTCAATATATTTATCTACATTCACATATAACGTACATTAAGATAGTAAAAATAAATTAATAAATGATCAAATCTTATACAAATTTTTAATCATGTCTTAAAATTGAAAATGCCTTACCCGCTCTTTGAACCACTTGGGAAACTCTTGTTGTATACGGGTTATGTCTTGGTCAGATGGAGTCCGTAATAGATTTTTGTGTATCCTACTCAAAAGAATGTGATTATTATACACTGCTAACTATATTAACAAAGCTAAGAATACACATATTTAAATGAAAAACATACTCTAGATACTTCTCTATTTCGGGGCTATTGTTCAACAAGAACCAATGAGCCATATCACGATTCCTGTGACATATCAGCATCCCTTGTGATTAGGCCAATAGGACGGGTAGTTTCTGTGAATACAGTCAACCCTTTGCGACGTTCGCCACGATCTTGATTTCGTTCGGGTCGATTATGCACTGTTTCAATCCCATCAACATACATTGAACAAAAAGTAATGCACTCTTTGACAATGTAAGCCTCTGCGATTAAACCTTCTGGTCGAGCTCGGTTTGTAACAAACTTTTTTAAAGCTCCGAGAAACCTTGAAAATAGAATTAGTTAAGAGCAAGGTTACACATGCAACATATAATTACGAACCTTTCAATTTAACAATTACCTTTCAATCCGGTACATCCATCGATATTGCACCAGTCCTCCAAGAATAGCCTCACGCGGCAAGTGAACGGCCAATTGAACCATCACATCAAAGAAGGCTGGAGGAAAGATCTTTTCAAGCTTGCATAATATGTGTACTATACGTTCCTCTAATTTCTCAAGTTAATTACGGCGCAGTGTCCTTGAGCACAAATCCTGGAAAAAGCTACCTAACTCAAATAGTGTTTTACTAATCTCTTTGTCTACGTAACCGCGCATCCCAATTGGAAGAATCCGTTGTATGAGTACATGGCAATCATGACTTTTCAAGCCTATTAATTTACCATTTCTCGCATTCACTGATCTTGATATGTTTGCAGCATAACCATCTGGATACTTCACTGATTTCAAGAATTCAAAGAAACCCTCCCTCTCTTCAGGGGTCAATGAAAAGATTGCCCTAGGTTTGACATAAGTTCCATCAGGACGACGTGTTAACCACAACTCTTTCCATGCCCATATCTTCCAAGTCCATTCGTGCTTTGTCGGTGTCTTTGTTCTTTCCATCAATGCCTAACCTAGTTCCAAAGGTATTTTCACTAAAATTCTTCTCGACATGCATGACATCAATGTTGTGTCGAAGCTTCCATTTCTTCCAGTATGGTAACTCATACAAGATGCTTACCTTTGTCCAATTTGGTGCCTGACAGAGTCTTTTCTTGTGTCTTGGATGCTTCCCATATGTGACACCTGTCACCCTATCCAATTGCTCTAATATCTTTTCCACTGGTAACTCTAAAGATCTCTTTCGCTTCTCATGCTTACCATTGTAAGCCTTACTCTTTCGCCTTCCGGGGTGGTTTTGAGGCAAGTAGCATCGATGGTTAGTGTATGCAATCTTACCTTTCAAGGATTGAAAATATGGTTCATCATTACAAGTGTAACAAGAATAATGACTGTAACAACCCACATTTTATGTCCTAGTCATGTTTGCATGCATTTGTATGTTTTGCCATGTTAAGATGCTGTAACGACCCATATTCATGTCATGGTCATGAGCCTAGGTCATGTTAAGCCTAGGTCATGTTAAGCCTAGGTCATGCCAAGCCTAGGTCATGTCAAGCCTAGGTCATGTTAAGCCTAGGTCATGCCAAGCCTAGGTCATGTCAAGCCTAGGTCATGTTAAGCCTAGGTCATGCCAAGCCTAGGTCATGTCAAGCCTAGGTTATGTTAAGCCTAGGTCATGCCAAGCCTAGGTCATGTTACGCCTAGATCATTCCAAGCCGAGGTCATCTTCAGTCTAGAATTATCTTGGAACCACTTTGTTTGACCTCCACCTTTGCCTTGACATATTGGCCGAGATGTCACTATCTAGGCCGAGGTGTTCATCACCAAGGCCGAGATGTTACCTTTGCACCTGAGTGATCTTGTCCTTGAGTGGTATGACCTAGACCGAGGTGTGGCACATCTAAGCCAAGGTGTGGCACAGCTTAGTCAAGTGTTTTCCTTCCTAGCCGAGGTCATTGTCACCTTAGT